AATATTCCTGCGACACAACGAGAACGCCTTCAGCACCTAAATTTAACGGAGAAAGAGCAGACTAGAGGCTTTTTTCCGCTGACAAGAAACTGTTTAACTAAACTAGAAAGAGTCGTTTTAGGCCTTTTTTCCGGTGTCAAGAAACTGTCAAACTACACTAGAAAGTGTCGTTTTTTTCATTTGCGACATTTCCGGGCTGATCACGACAGCAACGCTGCCGATGCTTCTACGCTGTTGCCACAGGCGNTTCAAAAAGATTTAATCCTCAAAAGATTTTTTTTCATAACGGTTCCATAATATAAAGCAACTATTAAGATGGACAAGATAATTCTGGAGAGATAAAAGCCAGAGAGCTTACTCTCTCCATTAGTAGCGTGATACGTCAGCTTCAGTAGTAACAAATTACTACTATTTCGCAACAATTCCACAAAATAACACCAACTACTTTTACCACATGGCAAATGGGTGATACCTGGTGTCTACAATGGGCGAACACAATATAGCTACAGGAAAAGTGAAAGTTATTGCGGAGTTTAAAGGGTCGCAATGACATTATTAATATCAATATCATTATCCTTATCATCAAAATTATCATTATTATTATTGTGGTCATTACTAATATTAATATTATTACTGATGATTAAGATCAGGATTAAGATTGTTACTGGCATATCATTTATGATTTCACCTTCGTTACTCATTGTAATATCATCACGATTATCATTACTTTTGTTTTTATTGCTATTAATATTATAATTATAATTGTTGTTGTTACCATTACTATTACTATCATTATTATTATTTCTATAATCATTAATCATTATTTCTGGAAATAAATGGGGAGCTGATAGAAAGTCTTTGCTAATGATATATAAAGCCCTAATTAGGTCTAGAGAAGATTATGGGTCAATCGTGTATGGTTCGACATCAGACTCAATTTTGAAAGGATTGAATGTTGTGCAGAATGCATGTGTGCATAGATGCCTTGGAGCTCTCATGTGTACAAGGATTGAACGTCTTGAGGTGGAGTCGGGAGTACCTCCCCTCCGACTCAGACGCGGCCAGCTGGCGCTGACTTATGCCGCCAAGGTGGCTCGAGACCCGAGCCACCCTAATGGTATTGGTGCCATTAGGCCCTTTACCATTAGATTCCACGACCTCATCCTTAAAGTCGGTATAGATCTCTCTATCATCGATACCCTGGTTCAAACAAATATAGCGCCATGGGAAACACTCAATTTTACCATCATGGAAGCTTGGCTTCTATCAACCAAGGCCATGGCGCCGGAGGTGGAATTACGCCAGAGGTTCACCGAGATCATTATTAAACATCTTCCTTTTTTCATATACATACCGACGGCTCCAAGACCGAGCAAGTAGTGGGTGCAGGTGTATGGTCGACTGAATGCGAGTCGAGATTCAGATTGCCGAATCATACATCGATCTTTATTGCCGAACTTTCTGCAATTGATAAAGCTATTGATTTTGCACTATCGACGACCCACGATAGGATAGTATTTTTTTTTCTGATTCATTAAGTTCACTTAAAGCCATTAAATCATTAGAAACCACTAAAAATTAACTGGGTAATATCATTCATAAGCCACATAATGCCAACAAATCAATCAAACTGATAAGGGTGCCAGGCCACTCTGGTATCCATGGCAATGAGCAGGCTGGCCGATTAGCCGGGTCAACTGGCGATTTGGACCTTAGCATAGTCCGGACAGATCTCGGGTGTTTTGTGTCCCTTATAAAAGCAAAAATCCATCCCCTGTGGCAAAGTGAGTGGACCGACCTACAATTACACAACACAATAAAACAAACAATAGAAATATGGGACACATCCCATAGAAAAATACAAAGAGAAGAGGTGGTTTTGGCCCGCCTCAGGCTAAATTCAAGGCTGACTCACCTCACCCCATATATCGGGAGAAATTTCCCTCCACAGTGCCCCCAATGTACTACCACAAACTCGATTAACCACATCATGACAGTCTGTCAAAAGTACACAGACAAAAGACAGCAAATTAAAAATTATTTCAGAATGAATAACATTCCATTCATATTACCAAATATATTAGCAAATGATGAAAATGGGAGTAATGAATTAATATAAGGAATATTCGGGGGCAAGACAGTGATATATGGTATTGAAAGGTAAAAGTATCACTACATCGTTCCCAGGGACTTCACTGAGTGTTAGGTAGAGCACTACAGATGCCAGTTACAATAATTTATTTCTAATCATATGGGAAATGCATTGCTAAACAGGCGACAGTCACCAGTGCTAGTTGTACTTTAACATCTCTCGTATCTATTTCCATCCATATTTCTGGGAAAACACAATTTACAAGCTCAATCAAAATAGAATCTCCATGTAAATCTGCATAATTTCCTGTTGTAAACACTGTCAAAAAAATGTTGACTTCAGCATCATATATGTAAAGCTTATTACTTATATGAAAACAAGTTTTATTTGTTGTATATACCTTATGTA